CTGTAGGTGCAATTTTTTTTGAGTTCCTGGTATTTATGTTGGGCCTTTTGCATTTCATTCATTAGGAAGTCTAGCTCCTCACACCCCAGGAGATACTGAAAATGTTTATTTACCACATGATACCCTGCACCAGCTGCAATGGAAAGTAGCAAGAGCTGTGTGTCTGGCTGCTCTGTTTCTTGGAGGTAATTCAAGAAGCAGCGAAGAGACAAACTAACCTCATAAGTGGCCTTTCTTTGAGCTTCTGTTTCATCAGACTTAGATATGACCATGGCTTCCATGAGGTCATTCTTGATTTTCTTTAAGCTTGTATTTAATTGAGAAAATTGGGAGATGTTGATGTGTTCTTGCACTGACTTTGCCTGGAAGACCCACTGCAGGATGGAATGAGCCTGAGGGAAGTCATTCACTCTGTGGATGTGAGGATCCAAAAGGCTGCACAACTGAGATTTAATAAACTTAGTTTCATAAATGGAAGACTGTTTGCAAAAGTTAACAGTTTTTACCAGAAAATTCTGCAGACCCAAATTTGTGAGGCATTTGTTAACCCAAGTGTCATAACTGTTTGTTTTTTGACTCAATATTTGCATGAAATTTATCAGTTTTTGAAGCTGCTCTTCAGGATCAGATACCTCCCAGGATTTCACATCCTCTAGGGAAACTCCAGCCTCCTCCTCAGCACTCAGTAATTCTTCTCCATCCTGGATCTGGGCAGTGATGCCAGTCAGAGCAGTGTAGCTATCCTTCAGTAAGCTAGCTACCTGGCATGTATCCTTGAAATCACTTCTGTGGTTGGAGAGGATAATGTCCCAAATGGGCACCAGCTGAAGGCCCCGGTCAATGACACTCCAGGTTTGATTATTGGCAACTAGGCCAGCTTTCCATTGGAGAAAGCCATTTGCTTCTGGTGGGCCACCTGTCTGAGCCACAGATAATTGGACTTTGGTTTGGAGATTTTGGAATGTTGGGCTTTGGATGGATGTTTCTGAATGAGAGTGTGACTCATCCACACCTGCAGCAACTTTCACGCTAAAGCAGCTATAGCTACCCCTTATATAACCATTCAGGGCCTCTGCTGACTGCTGTTTTACTTGTGCCAGCTGCTCACTTCGGAAGCCCTCTGATATGGCTTTCCACCAGTAGATTCCTCCCAGGTGTAGTGGGCCCTGGTTGGCATGAGAGCCAAACCTGTGGAAGAAAGCTTCAGTACTGCGCCTCAGCACGGGGAGTCTGTCTGTGTCTGCAGACTGACTCAGAAGGTCTTCAATGCATTTCAGTTCCTGGAGAGCAGCCTTGGAGAACTGGAGCTGATCCATGGGAAAGTGGCAGGAGGCAAGTGGGACATAGCTGAACTTGGTAGAGCAGAAATAGGAGTGTTCAGAATGTGATTGTTGGTTTTCCTTGGATTCTGAATGTTTGCTGTGGTCCATACCAGCTTCCACGCTAAATCCCCAACCTCCGCCCTTGGCTGAGGCAATTACACTGAAGCCCAGCTTCTCTGTCATCTGGGTGAACTTGGATTCTTCTTGAGAAGATGTAAATTCCCTGGTTTCCATCCATGTGCTGTGCCCAGGGCCTAAGAACAATAACTCCTTGGGGACACTGAGTAGCTCTTCTCTCTTCTGTACAAGGTCTTTTTGGTAGCTGGTTTTGTAAATTCCCTGCAGGGCCAGCCCTCCAGATGCCCATCTCACGAGATCTCTATCTGGGAGGTTTTGCCTGTGAGACAGTGTGGCCTCCATGGGGTTGAGTTGTCCCTGCACGTGTTTCATCACTTCTCTTAAGGATTTTTCGGGCAGTGGCCAGCACTCTTTGGGAATCTCCATTGCCTGCCTCAGCTCTGCCTCTTTTATCCTCCCTGCCTCTTCTTGTCCTTTCCTCCCTTCTGATTGCAAGTCTCTTAGCCCCTGCGGTGCCTGTTCTGCCTTCTTCTGTTGTTCCTTTCTCATTTTCACCTGAGACTCCTGTAACTTTGAAAGCCTATTTGAGTTAAGTAGCTTCTCCAGAGCCCTTTTCTCCCAGGGATGTTGTGCCTGGGATTTCAGCTTCTGAAGGTGTTCTTCTTGAATGTGTTGTAAGGCCTGAGCACAGGTCACACCCAGGTGTTCCTGCAGCTTTGGCAACCAGTACTCAACTGCCAGTCCTACTTCTCTCAGCATCTCTTGGAGATCTTGCCCACTTTTGCCTCTGACAAGGAGCTCATCAGACGTGGAGTCTGCTGTGTCCATCTGGAAAGAAAAGACACTCAGCCTCTTTCATGAACTTAGGAAGTGTACGCCACCTCAAAATAAGGATAAGAGTACTAAAGATGCAAGTCTCTGCCCTGGCAGGTGTATTTAATGGTTAGAGATTAGCTTGCACACCAAAGGGTCATAGGTTTGATTCCTGAACAAGGGCTGTACCAGGGTTGTGGGTTTGATCCCTGCTCCTAGTTGGGCGAGGATGTGGGGTGGTGGTAGGCAACCTGTGGATGTGTCTATCTCACAGTAATGTTTCTCTCATTCTCTCTTTCTCTCTCTCTTCCTTCTTTCCTCCCTTTGCCTCCCTCCCTCCCTTTCACACTCTCAGAAAAGCAATGGAAATAATATCCTCAGGTGATGATTAACAACATCAACAAAAATATGCAAGTCTTTAAGGCTTCTCATCCTTTCCTTTCCCATTGTTTTATAACATATATTAGTGTTTTAAAAAATTTGGTGTGTGTGTATGCCTCCACACGTGCACATACAAGACATCTTTGTGGGTTTTCTCAACATGGACTGCTTTTGTAGTTGTCAGGATAAGTTGCAACTTAATAGCCTGGCTTTTGGTACTTCCTATATAAACAGAATCAACTGAATGGAGAATATTAAGTGGACACCAATTCCACTTAATTCCTCAATCAGTTTCTATCAAACCTGTGTTGAATGGTTCCCTCATTCTTTTCGTCACTTCTTGTGCCATTTTATAACATTTATTTACTCTTTGGTCCTTTAAAATACAGTTCTTTATGTCAGCATTATGGTGCATAAGATATTTCTCTCTTCTTTTTGTCTCCCATTTTATAACAATAAATTAGACATGTATTCACAAACAAATGTGCCCCTCTGTGGGAATTTTGGGATCATGCCAAGGGATGTCAAAGCAGTCTCGCCCACCTGTTCATCTAGTAATAGGCAGAGGACTTCAGCATGGGCTATGGAACCAGCAAAGCCAGCAATTCTGCCCAACGGTCTTAGCATGGTTGGAAAAACCTTTTTAATGCTCACCTGGGCAGATGCACAAAGATGAGAGAGAATTTGTGTAAGTCCAGTCTTTTCAAGGGTAGATTGCAGCATGAGTTTGGGGACATTGCATGGGCTGCACTATCAGATGGTGGAAATTTCTCCAGTGTGGAAACGGAGAGTGGTTAGTGAGTGCCTGGCTACTCAAGTTGTGTGAGACATGACTTAAGATAT